ATAAAACACGATATGACATATTCTAATGTAATAGAATATAGTATAATATCATATGCCCTAGTATATAAAATTGTATAATAGGAAAAATCTTTAATATCATAAACCAAATATAAAAACATAACACCATGTAACATATTACGATATGGTTAAAAACTAATACAATAATATATCACAATACACTGCAGTGAAATAGAAAAATAAAACCTCTAGAAGATAATAAAATTTTAAATGTATGATAGTATAATGTGAAATCTTATAATATGACATAACATGATATAACATAATATACAATAGTTTAAATAAAACACATAACATGATAAACCATAATATGATATAATACAATATTATATAATACAATCCAATATATCACAATATGGTACAGTATGGTATAACATAATATAATAACACACACACACACANNAGATAGATAGATAGATCGATAGTTAGATAAATATATAGATAGATAGATGTATAGATAGATAGACTGATGGATAGAAAGAAAATAGATACACAGGTAGTTAGATTGATTGATCTAGATAACTGCTGCTTAGGGTTCAAAGTCTGGGGAATCAGGGGTGCACGAGCCGGACCAGCATGTCCCGTGCCATGCAACGTTTACGTGCGCTCCGTGCAGCAAAAGCAGAAACAAAAACACCCTTTCTCCACGACGGCCTACGCACTTGTGTGATTTGTGCAGAGTAAACCAACCCCACGGCTACGTCTACTTGTGCGGAAGCCCCACGCAAGCAAACGCTTAAACCATCTGCAACTGCGTCACCCAATATGCCTTGGGGGGACACGACTACCAGAAATCCTATGCCTAGCCCTCCACCTTTCAACCCCAACCCACCCACCCCACTCGTGAGCTAACCCCCGAAGCCGCGGACTTGACAACTTATTCTGAACCCTCAACCCTAACTCTAAACCCTAAACGGCATCCAGGCTCAGTGTTCCTACGAAGGAGTAGCTGAAGACCATGCCAGCTCCATACTTCTTCATCTCCTTGAAACTTCTGCTTCGGTTTAGTGTTTAGGGTTTAGGGGTTTC